GACATCAGCTGAGACTCGCGCTGATTCTTGCTCGAAGGCAACAGCGGCCTCACTCATTTCAATGATTCGTTCCCTGTCCAAGGAATCGAACGACGCTTATTTCAGGTGGCTCTCGTCTTCTCCTGACTCAGAAGAACTCTTTAGGATTTCCACCAAAAAGAATATCAATGCTGCTTTGGCAGCTTGCGATATGGTCATCGTCTCGCTGAACTCGATCGCCGGAATTTCGGACTGCCCCGAATCTCCGAAAAATGAAAAGAAACGTCTTCCAAAAATCGAGATGCGGCCTTTTTGCAGAAAAAATCCAAAATTATGGTTCGACCATCTCGAAATCATCTTTGCTTCTTCTGATGTCCTTCTGGAGAATCATCGCTTTGCTGCTCTTCTCAAATTGCTCGATGAAACGGCAAGCTCTCTCCTGAGCGAACTGACCAGGTCACAGCGTCCGGAGCTTTACAGTGAAGCGAAAGATCTCCTAATTAAAGAATTTTCTCTTTCTAAATTCGATCGCGTTAAAGAATACATCTTTAACTCCTCACCTGGTCCAGACGAAAGATTGACCCACTTTGCCTCTCGGGTGGAGGTTCTCATGGAGGACATCTCGATCGATGACGTAAAAAAATTTTGCCTGCTCCGTCACTCTCCACCAGCCGTCCGCCTCCAACTTGCCGGAAGACAGTTTGAGAAGGTCTCACTCGGCGACTTGCTTAAAGAAGCAGACACTCTCACGCAGAGAGCGACGCAGGATTCGATGACGGTTGGCCATATCCAGGGTGGAAATCGCAAAAACCAAGCTCGAACAGCTTGGAAGGAGTCGAAGGTCTGCCACTTCCACAAAAAATTCGGCAATGATGCGTATCAGTGCACTGGAGGAGACAAATGCCACATGTGGAACGAAAAGCTGAAGTTGGTTCAAGCCCGCTCCAAGACGTCCGACACTGGCTCCTGGAAGGAGAAGGGAAACGATTCAGGCAACCCTTCGAGAGGGTAGAAGGTAGCCGATTATTCTTACACAC